GAAAATTATTTTTTTTGTCTTAAACGATATACTTTCAGATTGTTCCCTTTCATTCCCGATAGAAATTTTATCAAAATTGCTTGCGTATTTAGATTAAAATAACTGGTTAAATTTGGTGATTGGCGCTGATGATGTTTTTTTTTTTGTTTTGTGGAATAAAATCGTTTATTTATTATCGTCATTATTATCATACTAGTCGTTAGCTGTCCAATGCTGAACATAGGCCTCCCCCATAAGTGTGGTTTTGCCAATACTTGCCACGCTTGGCTTTGGTGATGTTTCAAAAGCAGTGACGTTTTAAGAATGATGCTGCTGTCTTATAATTCTTCGACAAATAAGTTTCCTTGGTCGCCTTTTCCGGTACCTACGGATAAGGAAGAGGTGCCCTGTTCTATACTTGAACCACACGGTAGTTTATTTATAACACAACTGCCCAGGGGGGAGAAGGGATTGTTAGTAATGGAGAATAGTAACCCCATTGCTAGCAATATACCCTGTCAGGTCGACCTACTCGTGGTTCCTCCTGGAAACCACCGTGATTAATTTATTGTTAGATTCGTTACGGTGGGCTAACTGACCTACTTCATCCTCACCTATTATACTGGTGCCGCGCCAGTGTATACCGTTAGCGCAGGCGGGGTTACCATTCCATTATCATCCATTAAAAGAACACAACTACCCAAATTTTGTGTGTAACCTTTTCAGGATTAATGCATGTATATCAGGGGTTCCCAGACTTATTTTGTCTACTGCCCACTTTGAGAATAAATTATTTTTAGCGCCCCCATTTTTTCACCTACTTATAAACCACTATTACTTCAAGATCAACAAATCACCCCCCAACCCTCTACAGAACGCCCCCATTTTTTTTCTGAGTCTCTTACCGCCCCCCTTTAGGCCTGCAGTGCCCACAAGGGGTCGTTATCGCCCACTTTGGAAAAGGCTGATGTGTATGATTTGATTGTATGGAGTATCGTTAAGATCCTTACGTCATCTTAAATGTCATGTTTAACTGATTTCAAAAAGAAGGAAGATATCATTCGATTGTAATTTTTTTATTTGTTATTTCTTAACTCCGTTAGACTACCTTTTTTTTATTTAAAAGAACATACTTACAGATTACTTCTATAGAAATTTTATCAAAATCAGGTCAGTAGTAGTTAGTGGTTAGTTTTTAAATCAAAATAATTATGAATTTAGTTTTAAAAATTTTGTTTAAAAAAAAAACAGCAATTTTGCCTAATTATCACATAAATTTATTTGATTAAGAGACAGGTTTGTGGAAATTATGACTCAAAATCGACCAGTGGTGTCGATTCTGATGCATGCTGTTAATTATTAATACTTAATTATTTAAATCAAATGATAATATTAATAAAAAAAAAATGCAAATGGATCACAACGTTAGAATTGAAACTAAGTATACGAAGTTATAGAAAGAATTTTTTTTCAAACTTAAATTTAAGCATTTTGATTATTTATGGGTAGTAATTTTTTATGATTATACCGTACAATTCGGAATATTATTTCAGCTTAGCTGTCGCTTTTCTCAAACAAAATGTAAATACGCAATTTATGAATTTTGTAAATATAATTTACCAAATAGTGCCAAATTATAAAAAAAATTAGAACACATTCTTCAGAAAAATAACGAGAACATGTGAGGGTATCACTGGCGTCACAGTGTATACTGTGATGTCCATATTGCTGCTCATGTTCAGCCTGTAGACGTAATAGCATATCAAATGTCTATCTATCCTATTTAAGAGTTGCGCTCTTGTCTGTGGAGCTTTTGCCACTCACTACGATTTTCTGCGAGTCTCTTCATCTTTTGATACGATACGACACTAACTTTTTTCTCGATCTGCCTGATGTAACTATGCCTTGGTCTCCCTTTACCCCTCCTTCCTTCTAACTTACGTTCTATTATAATGTTCATAAGTTTGTCGTATCGTATAAAGTATTCTAACATTTTTTCCCTCCTGAATCAATGGTAGGGGTTACAAAATCGCGAATACAAACTTCACTCTCACAAGTCGCAACCCGAACTTACAAATGCCTGTTTTATTGCCGGCACTTTTTATACAGAACGCCGTGTAAAACTTGCCGCGAGACAAATTTGCGTTACGTGATACGTTTTCATTATTATGGGTAATGTTTGGACAAGGAGGGAATGATAGCACGACCCCAAACCTGTTTATATTATTCGCATTTGGTTGACTTTGTAATTTGAAACTTTACATTTTAGTGGTAATTGTTTAATATATGTCTTTGATCATTCACATGAACATAAAAAAAACTGTTATGACAGTGTGACTGTCAAAAAACTGGAATGATTAGAAAGTTAAAAAATTTACGAGCGCACAATGCCTTACTCTATTAAAAAAAAAGAAAAATTAAGTCATACTCTACTCAATTTCAAATTTGCATCATTTACGCATTTTGCACATTTTAGTTCACGACCCTGAGCATTCATATTTGGGTAATAACCTAACCTATTAACCTTCGCTAATTCTGAACTGCCACTGGCCATTTATCCAGCGGGACTAACAATATAGTTATCACTATCACGATTATAATATAGATAGAGACAGAAACATAATTATCTATCGATAGATTCGTTTGTCACTTGTTTAGGCGGAATTTTATACTCGTAACGTAACGTAAATTTTTACTTACCTATATTCTAAAGTTAGAGTGAGAGTGTTTGTTTGTTTGTTACACTATAGCACTTTAACCAATCACAATGAAATTTGGTATAAACATACGATATGGGATTTTATCCCGATCAGTAAACATATTCAGGGCATACGGACGAAGTCGCGGGTAAAAGCTAGTATGTAAATAAATTACCACAAAGTACCTTTTTATTGGAGCCGCTTTAAAAAATTATCAGAAATTGTTCACGTCAACAGCTTATGAACACAAAAGTAACTTCAAGCGCCTAATGTTTTCTGAACAAAAGTGTCGATTTGGCAGTTCCGCGTCACTAAACTATCTCCCCTTCAATCTAACTGTAATGGCGGCAATCTGATGAACGGCACCAAATGTCGCCATCTTGAAAACAATGGAATTCTAGTGCGAAGAACTTCGATCGACAATAGTATTAGATAAAATCTCACGAATTAAAACAATACTCTAAAAGTGTCTTGGCTTCCGAATTAATATCGAACTGAAATGAAATATTTTTAACTAAATAATTAATATTCAGTAACAAAAGGGAAAGTATAAAAAAAAACTTGTTTGGCATTCTAAGTTGAATATAAAAATATTCAAATAAAATATGTAATGATAATTTAACATAAATATGATATCGACTGATTAGTTTTTTCTGAAAGCCAGTCGTTATTAAAAGATCTCAATGGGACGTCTGTTGAAAATTTAACGCAACAAGTTTCTGAATAAGTGGATATATTATGTTAGGTATAAACTACAAAAGAGTTTTCGTACCTACACGTTTAGGTTCCTTTTTTGTTCTAAAGATTTACTAGTCCATGATCTTTAAGTTCTGATGTTTGCAATTGTCTCACAAGTATAACAAATTTGCTACATCAAAAGGTATTTAAAAAGGCGGCCGTCTTACGTTAGTAAGGGCTTAGTACTTTTATCTTGTAGACATTTGACGGGGAGGAATCGAGCTTGGAGATAGAAAATTCGTTTTCTAATTTGGATGTTACCAGTATTTTTGCACGAAATAGTCTATAGATTTCGGAACCGATTCTGAGGTGGCATTTTATTAACTTTATCTTTTTTTATGTAACTTAGAATGGCAAACAAGCTTTTTTTTATACTACTTAGAATGGCAAACAAGCTGACGGCTCACCTGATGGAAAGTGGTAACCGTCGCCTATAGACATGAGTAGTACCATGGACATAACAGAGTATACTGTTTCGCCCATGATACCCCGCATGCGTTGCTGACAGGCCCACCTAATGGAAAGTGGTAACCGTCGTATATTTCTTAATCGAATATTTTAATTTTATAATTAGAACAAATTATTGTCTTATGATTCTGACACAGAATAGGCCACCCTTTCCTTTTCCATGAGTGTCGCAAGCGCCAACTAAGAGAACTTAATTGTAGATACTCGTAGATAGGCAGCAGCGTCCGTTTAAAAACATCTCTAAAAGCCTAACTGCGATTGCCAGCCCACCTGCCAAGGGTGGCGACTACTGGCAAAACTTTAACCTGTAAGTACTTAATACTGTATAATAATAATCATCTGGGAGGGGAAGGGATTGTTAGTAATGCGGACTACCAGTTTCATTGCTAGCAATATATCCTATCTATTTAGCAATAAAATCAATTTCAGTGGTGTTATACTAGTACAGGAGCCAATAGAAGCTTCTAATTATTCTAAGAATACTATCATATGTGTTCCTGGATTCTAAATAATAAAGTATCAAAAATAGGCATACAAGAAACGAATCCGACTTAAATTTTCATAGATCTATGTTAACGTTAGGTCGTGAAGTATTTTCCATGACAATAGATCCTATCTTTTTGTAAGACCCCTTGAGGCAACGACGCGAAAATGACAATTTCATTACATTCAATCCTAAATAAAACCTGTCCGCCATAAGCAATGGCAAAAAATAATGTTCATATTTTTTAGTATCATTGACGTCATCATATCAGTCATTATCTGTCTACTGCTGAACAAAAGCGGTATCCATTTTTCAGTATATGTATGTCTAAGTCTTGGGATAATAATAAGTGCCCCACAATTACACCAGTCGTCTAATTGTCAAGCTAGGATACCCAGTGTTAAGAGGAACCAGGTAATCATCATCTGGGCGCACAACACAGAACACCTAGAGCTGAGTTAATCATCCCTACATAACCACAGTAGCTATTTATAGTTAATATGATATACATAATATATTTATAAGAAATTAAAAAATAAAAAACATTTAAGTCGGTTAGAAAAAATATTAAAATAATACCAGCACTGTACCCAAAATTAGTCTCCTAAGAAATTATAATTTAAAGATTAATATATAACTAAAAATAATTTAATATATTTGTATATTTTATTACAAAATAATTAGACTACCTAAGTTATTTATAACAAATTTTCTTAGAAAACACATATTGAACCTTATAAAATTCAATTAGTGTTCATATTTTTTTCTAATACATCTACAATATTAAATTTCGCAATATAGTCTTTATTTTTCTTTTTTAATAAAACTTTTTTAAATAAAATTAAGGCTACGGTATTGCGCATTATTACAGTCTTCAAATTAGAAAACACATCAAAAGTATGAAAAAATAATGTAAAAAAGTAAATACAAGTTTCTTTTGATATATTAAACACAGGACTTTGAATAATTCAGATCACTTTGTAAAAGCGATTAATAAAATGTCTAAATTAATTTTTAAACAATACAGTCAACAAGTTCTTTGTAATTACAATGCAAATTTTTTTGATCCCAGAACAGGTTGTCTGGACATTGAAATTTTCTAGGAACTAAAATACCGTTGACATTCCTGACACAGATGTAGAATGATGTACAACTCTCTGGGTCTGGTGCGAAACCTTCGCTTCTACAAACGAAAGTCTCTGGTACTGTAAGAAATAAAAAAAAATATATCTTTATCTTATCTTATCTTATATGCATACTTATTCTTATACGAGTATATCCAAATATACGGATATTCAACGTGGCAAACTACATAGAAAGATACATCTGCCTTTTAAATTATTTAGTTTTGTTAATTACCTTTTTTGTATTTATTACTAGAGAGCTCGAAACAATTTATTATCTAAATTTAAAGTACCTTTTATAATATTTATAATACCATTTATAATATCATACCGTGGAGAATTTTTGGCACTATGGAGAATTTTTGGCACTAAATCGTCAGAATTTGTGACTTATATGGTATGTGAAGTTTTTAAATATATGTTATACAATTTTTTGTATATTTAAAAATTGTAATATACCTTTAATGGTAGTTGTAGAATATGATGCTGTAGTAGATAGAGTAGTAGAAGGAGTGGTAGAAGGAGTGGTAGAAGGAGTAGAGGGAGTGGTAGAAGGAGTAGTAGGGGTGGTAGAAGAAGTAGTAAAAGGAGTGCTTGATGGAATAATAGGTGAGGTACTAGAAAGAATTGTAGATGTAGTGGTAGATGGACTGGAAGATATAGTAGTGGACGTGGCTGGAGTACTCGAAGAAGATGGAATAGTCGTAGAAGACGGGACATTTTCTGTAGAAACATCTATATTTCGATCTAGTGCATCATTAATAGCTCTCAGTAGAGAGAAATCTCCATCTCCACAGAGTCCATGAAGATCGTCCGTTTCTATACTCCATACCATAGCACCAGCTATATTCAAACTTAATGCGTATTCGACTTTTTTGATTAAAGATTCTTTGTTGTCAAAAGATACCCAATTTCTATCTCGAACAGCGTAAGGAACTTTGGCCAGATTATCATTTCTAATATTCCATGATTCAGATTGAAATCTGATGCACAACTGTAATTATAAATTAATAATTAGAAATAATTATATTAAAGCATAAATATAAGCGTTCTTTATATGCAAGTGAAGTTGTTATGATGGAATAAGAATACAATATGTCACTATCCTTTATTATCAGCAGAATATCATAAGAAGCGATTGAAAAACAAAGGAAAATTAAAAATAGAATCATTGAACAAACATCTGGTGAATATTATAATAGTAGAATAACAGATAAGAGCGGTATAACACCCTAGTTCTCAGGAATGGCAAAGAATGGGGGTGTCATGGGCGGAACAGTATATTCTGTTATGCCCATGGTACTGCTCATGTATATAAGCTACGATTACTACTTCCCATCAAGTGAGCCGTCAGCTTGTTTGCCATTCTAAGTTGTATAAAAACACATTCTCCTTTGAAGTGGATTTTTTATTATACACATGACAGTATAATATGCAGCAAGTTTACCTTCTGCAGTTAATAATGAATGGTTGAAATAGTAATTAATGTGGAATAAACTGTTTAATCAAGTAAATTAATTAGTTTATATACATTTCAAGAGTACCTCATTATAACCAATGAAACCATTAGTAGCAGTATATGGTCCCGCAAGACCGGGTCCACTAGCTGGAGCTCTTACTGAATTAATATTTGGATTTACTAGCGTAAAAGTACGTCCATACAAAGGCATACCAAGTACTAACTTCTCAGGTGGACATCCTTAAACCAATATGATAAAACCAGTATTAGACTAACAGATAACCCAAATACCAAAAAAGACATTCAAAGGTTGACTAAAAGAGATCAATTTTATGGAATAAGTCTGCCATTATAATCATTCTTTTTTCAAAAACTCTGTATATGTAATTTGAAACTTTACTATACAATAAAGTGTTACAAACAAACAAAACCAATTTTTTATACTACGATTTTTTGACATGAGAGACTAGTCAATATCTATCTAAATCAATTTGAACCTCATTAAAAATTAATCTCGAAACAGACTATGGTAAATACTTGAAAAAAAAAATCTACTGAAATTATCCTTACGAGTATTATACCCCACAGAACTTCACGATGTGGAGCTAGTAAAATAAATGGTAAATTTTTATACAATAATGATATACAGACAGCAGTCCATGAATATTTGAAATATCAAAGACCCTTGTGTTGCAAAGGTTATGACTGAACCTTCGTTCCTATTACAGGGGTCGCTAGTTCCAATTCTGCTCTGATTATAGCTCCCAGTAATTTAATTGCTGCACCTTGATATTCAAATTGGAGCATAGCGACCAACCAAACTATATGGAAGCAAAATTGAAAGACTAGGTTCTCACGTAGACGATTTTGTACAAAGTTTCGATCCTTTATCCTAAATTTTAAATTTACAGAATTAAATTCTTGACGCAATAGATAGAAAAAATGATTACCTTGCCGGAGCCAATATTTTAGCGCCATATCGACGGTGTACAGGGTTTCTCTTGCAACACCATCGTCACCTTCCCCTTTATGCAATGGCGAATTATGTCCCGTTACTGCATCCCAAGATCCATACATATCGTATGCCATGATGCTTATTATATCTAAATACCTGGAATATAATTTATTGAATAAGTTTTTGTATAATAATTGTTAACTTCGTGATTCTATTCTTAATATCATCATCAACTAATTATCGTCCCAATACCGGATTTTTGCTATAAAAGGAGTTGGCTGCTACTACTTTACCAGGCAAGGTGTTGTAGCGATTTCTTTCCGTAATCACCTCTTACTATTGGTGTGATTACATTTCTTTCAAAGTCTTTCTTATTCCGAGTTCAGATGTTATAGATATCTTTATCATTATTCTTTCAAGATTTTGGGCTAATTTAAGATTTTTTCTTATTTCATAACATAGTTTATATGGAACTAAAATTACTATTTAGTTTTCGTTATAGTAATATCGTATATATAAAAAAAAAAAAATTGCTTAATAATTTTCGATGATATTGCGTATACATATATACATAAAAAACATAGAGTTGAGAATATCTTTCTTGCCATCGCCTGATTAAACTAAATTTATTACAATTACAAATTCTTTTAAATGTCTATAATATGAAGTGTCAATTACATTATTAAACTTAGTAACAAAGACTCGGCATTATCTTGATCTTGCAGAAATTCCATTATTATCTATTCCTTAACACTTATACAGCGAAATAGTTTTATAGTTATCATTGCTAATGATCAATATTAATCTAATATTAAATATAGTTATAATAGGAAAAAAACTATCAATGTACTCATATTTATTATACTTATTTTTACCTACTTTCGTTGTATTATAGATATTTACGTTAGATATTTATATGTTACTGGAAAAAATATTAGATCATATATTCATGGTAGATTATTTTATACAATTTAAAATAACAAAAAAAGCCGACATATTATCTGATAAAATATAGTATCAATCGCTTATAGACATGAATAGTAGCATAATTAGCATAGAAAACACTGAGATACTATATATACTATTAGATAGAAGCTTAAGGTGTTATGCTTTCATTGGTATTGAAAGATGGGGGGACGGAGGTGGGGGAGGATTTTAGGATAAGGAAGGGGATGGGTATAGGATGGGCCTCCGGACTCCCTCACTCACCATACGGAATGTGGTCGCACTAAAAGTGCGGCCACTTAGCGTCGGTATTCTGTGAGGGTGTGGTACTTCCCCGGTCGAGGCCCATAATGTAATTTTACTGTCATATTACTTGAAATCGAAGAAGATAGCACATTTTTTTTTTGTTATGTGTCAATTAGCATCGTAATATATCGTCACAAAAAAGAGTGATGGAGAGATCGTCATCATTGTGTCTCTCTTACGCTTATTTCTATTAGTCAGCATAATATGTTTTTCTTTTTTATTCATCTCTATTTGCAGTCGCTTCAGCATTCACTCCTTTTCTGACTACATCATCCTTCACACACCTCATCTCCCTTTTTTTTAGGTCTTCTTCTACATTTAAAAATGTTAAGATTCATTCATTCACTCAAGGAAAAATATTACTTACTGTGAAATAACTGGTATGTCATATGAAAGTGAAGCCATCTCTTCCACGGAAGCAACAGCGGCCGTCAAGAGAAGGCCGTACTCATTAAGAGCTTCTTTCAGTTCTACTATTAGTTGACTAAAATTATTCACATCTGCTTGTCCATGAACAGAATCACGCCTATTCGGGTATTCCCAATCAATATCTAAACCATCAAATCCATGATCTAGTACCATTTTGAGTGCGCTTCTTATAAAGTTCTGCCGGAAAATTGGGTTTGCGGCCATCTAAAAACATTTTATGGTGTAAATAGTCTTAACTCGCAGTTTTACTTGCATTAGGGAAAAAAGTTCATGCTTATTTATTTCTTATTTATTGACTATATTTGCAAAAAGTAGGTTTGATACTGTAAAATATTGTCTCCCAGTTAACCTTTGGGAAACTAGACTTTACGGAGTTCTTTTCATTTTAACCTCTGGACCTACAGAAGTGTATACATTTCTTTATTCTTCGTTTTAATCTAGAATATAGTCTATTTGTTTACTAAATTACTATCAAATTCGTTGATTAACTTCGCATTTTGTAGAATATTAATACTAAATTAATATCAGTTTTTCTTCAATATAAAGTCGCATAGACTTTATATTGAATCACCTCATGAATTCATTAAAACGGTAGTAGCTAATAATCATTTAATTACATTTATTTCAGAAAATAATAAAGTATCTAAATCAGTTAATAGTTTTATTTATATTATATTAGTATTATAAGTCGCATCTCTTAAAATAAACTAAATATGGGTTATTTAGTCTATTATAAGAGACGCAACTAAAGTTTACGGCATTTCAAAATAATAATCCATTATTAAGCAATGCTTCTTAATAATACGATAAGATTTTATTAGAAAATATAAAGAGTAACTATTTCATTATAAATAACTCCATTGTTTACAATTATATTATTTATCTCACTTGATAATTTTGATGAGTTATTTATGTTTTGAAATGTATCTGTGGTGAAACAGTTATGTAGTACTAATACTGATGTAGTTGAATCAGCTTTGTAATCTTGATCAAAGTTGTGAAAGTTTAATTCTTTATTTTTTAATAGTTTTTTGTCGGCTACTTCGTATGCATGGATTTCAGAAGTAGGAAACTTAAGACATAGACCACTTTTAGATGCGTATTATGATAAAAACACACTAGATTTTAAATTAAACATTTAGGTACACAACTGAGAATACCGCACCCATGATATTAGTGCAGACAGACAGACGAATATACAAACAGACACAATTTCTAAAATTATTATTCTGACATCTTGTGATTATTATTATAATCCATTATATTATTTTTTTCTTAAATATCACCCAATTAAGAACATTATCTTTTTTTTTATAAATAACTTAGAATGGTAAACAAGCTAACGGCCCACCTGATAGAAAGTGATAACCGTCGCCTATAAACATGAGTAGTATCATGGACATAACAGATACTCCGTTATATCTATAATATGATGTTGCGCCCATGATACCCTCCATGCGTTGCCATTCCTGAGGACTCAGGTGTTATTCCTCTGTGCCCAGTAATATCACGCCATATCCCATCCTTCAAACCGAAACACAGCCATGCAAATACAACTGCTTTATGGTTGAAACACGAATTGGACAGAGGTACCCAAGCAAATGACTTTTGTAGAAAGTCTCCCTCTGGTATCTAGTTACAATTTTATTATATTAGTAGGAGTAAGACAAGAAATAAGATTGGCCACATTATCAACTATAAATAGGAAGCCTTAATAAATTAATACTTATTAATATTGTGAATATCTCGGTCATACAGACGAAGTCGCGGGTAAAAATTATCTACTGCGTTCATATAAACTATATTAAATTAGTTCCTTTAATACAATGAATCTTTATATTATGACCACTTACCACAGAATATTTAGCAGAACCCTCATTCCATCCGCCCACCGCTAAAATAGTTTTTAGTTTAGGATTATTCAGTTTCAGGGCGTTAAATTTTCTGAAGTTATCTGAAATTTTATTATTAGCTTATAAAACATTAAGTATATATTAAAAATAAGTAATTTATTACATTATAAATAGGTATAAAAATTTAATACACATTAGGTCAATTTTAGAAATTAATTAACTAAGGATTACCTGTAATTGTACAGTTTGAATATATTATGTTTTTTTTTATTGTATGTATTTTAGGTATAAAAAAATATTTGCTCATAACTGTAATTCTTAATATATTATTAATAATATTAATAAAAATCTTAATAATAAAAAGAGAAAAGATTTGATTTTTTTATCATAAACTAAAAAACTAGTTACCCGATTTTAAAATTCTTTCGCCTATAAAAATCTACATTATCAGTAAGTAACATAGCCTGTATTTTATTTTTAAAACTACTGCCCGAAGTAGGATCTGCTTGCTGGTTGTGTAATCATCATCATCATCATCAGACGTTAACTGTCCACTACTGAACATAGGGGACCTATGTTCTTTACCGGTAAGTGTTGCAAGAAGCGACTAAGTAAATTTTTTTTTATTGGATGAAAATGAAGTGGTAACCCCGCCTGCGCTAATGGGATACGCTGGCGGGGCACCAGTGAAGGGTGATCGATGAGAATGAAAAAGGCCAGTTAGCCCATTATGATGAATTCATCAGGAATTAATCATGATAGTTTCCAGGGAGAACCGCGAGGAGGTCGACCTGGTTGGGTATATTGCTAGCAATGGGATTCCCAGTCTCCATTACTAACAATCTCTTTTCTCCACAGACTAAGGGAACTTAATGATCGAGAGATGGACAGCAGCATCACCGAAACCAAATTACTGTTGTCAACCAGCCTGCCAAGCATGATAACTACTGGCAAAATCTCCCTTATGTATGAAGCCTAATTGTGATGTAAACATGACTAACTTACCTCTCCCATAATTCTCTCCCAAATCCAGCCAAGGGTCTAAAGAAATGACAGTGCCCTCATTGTTTATACCGACAAAAGTATATACTAAGTGTGTACATAAATCTGTATTTATATCGTCAACGTCAAACTTGCCCAAACCATTTCTATACGTTGCCCACGTTCCGTAGTAGCACACCAATATTTCTGAAAAAAAAAAAATTTTTTTTTGTATTGTCACGTTTAGCCGCAATTTTAATTATTCCTCTCCATCCTAAGGTTCCGTGGAAGAGATCGTAATTTACTTTAAACCTTATTTTTGGTAACTTTTTTTTATATCTGCATATTTTATGTGATTTCATCTTTCTTTTAGGTTAAAAATAAAAAGGTTGCATTGATTTATTACCTAAACTCGGAAATAAATTGTAATATGAGGACAAAAGGAAGGGATTGTTAGTAATGGGGGCTGTAGCCAGTCTCTATAGTGAGCGATCTACTCTATCTGCTTGATCTATATGCGGTTCCCTATCGTGGTTTATTTCTAGTGAATTTCCCATGATGGACCAACTGACCTGATTTTCAACTGATTTTGAAAAAAGGGGAGGTTCTCAATTCGCTGGTAATTTTTATATGTTTGTTACCTCATAACTCAATTAATAAAAAACCAATTTGGGGAACTCTTTTTTCTAAGAAATAAATCCTTTCAGATTAGTCCCATAGTAAATAATATCACAATCAGTTTAGTATTTTAGTTTTTAAATAAAAAAAAATAACTGATTTTGTCACATTTGATACCGATTTTGTTTTGTAGAACACATTCTTGATCTTATATTTTTTTTATGTAACTTGGAATGGCAAACAAGTTGCCTATAGACATGAGTAGTACCATGAACATAACAGAGTATACTGTTTTAAATATCTTTATTGAGAGATAAGTCCACCCTTGCTCACAGCATTCTTTACCAGTCATCTTTAGTCTATTCAGTTTCTACTGATATTATAGAAACAGCTATGATATACGTGGTATCTCTCATGCTTTGTGATTCCTACTAGCGGCATAGATATGTGATCGCTATCGCTTGTATAAGGTAGAATGAAACGCCGACGTTGACGCCAGACCCTGCCTAATCGTTCTTCCTCATGCGAATGTTTATGAAAACATATCTATTGATACGTAGATTCATTTGCCACTTATTTAGAGGAATGTGAACAAAAGTGTTGTGCTTTCGTACCCTGTAACTTTACTGGCATATTCCATCTTTCAAATCGAAACAAGATGTACACTATGTAAGCACAGCTGCTTGGTAGCAGTAACAGATTAGTTCATGCAGTTGATTTTTGTATAAGAAGTACAAATTTTGCCTACGTGCTTGTTTGTTGTTTTTACAATTGAAAAAATATTTCTATTTATATTACTGAGATAAATAAGCATACGGTAAGCCTTATAATAAATAATTAATAAGTTATGACTGAAGACTACAGATGTTCGCAATACTAGGAGAATTGCTCTTATTTATTTGATATTTAATAGATGAGTTGTGAGAATTAATAAATTAGGAGAAAATTAAAATCTGTATACCGAACATTCCAATTCAAAAACTACCACAATTTTAACACCAGTAAAAATTTATTAAATTCACTTACTTTCACTAAACACAACATGGTTTGCACTAATACCAAGTAACAATAATATTAAAATATCATATTTATCCATCGTTATTTAATCACTGTTCTATTTTAGAACTGTAATACTGTGCTATACTAGCAAACATTCATTGCCCCACAATAAATAGATACACGTTTATAAAGGAACCCTTATCAGCAATAGACATATTCTGAATCTAAGTAATATTGATAAGAATTATAACATAATGTTAGGATTATTGAACTAGCAATGTAAACTGAGTTCGGTCGAGTACCTACGATTTGGCAATTAATTGAAAATTGTACTTCTTAAAAAAATATTAATTCTTGAAATTATTATAAAAGTTGGATACTTCAAACAAAGCAAAATTTTAAGTCGTTTTAGTGATATACTTATGTGTGACTTATTCTAAGATTGACGTTTTAGGTCATCAGTATAACGATTTATATATGTATATTATAAATTATTTTTGAAAATCCTATTATTTTATTTACTATTATTATTTTGGTAATAATTTCTTCTTTTTGGGCGTTGCCAGTCGCACGCATACTAATGGCAGAGGAATTAAACAAAATAATTCTTATCAAAAAAGTCATATGAACTTTTTCAAAATAACACCTAGTTCAGTAAAATAAAATTCTATTAATATTATAAATGAGAAAATTTAGACATTTATTACGGAAACACGCTTAAAAGATTAAATGAATTTTAATGATCTTTACTATACAGATAGACCTATTCCTAGATGAAAAAAATAAATCATAGTATATTTTTTATATCAACTTACGAGGGTTGTGATTACTTTATGCAAACATTGTGGTAGATTTTGTAGTACCATTTCTAAAGCAACTTTTAAAATAAATATTTCAATATAATATTGTAGCGAAATTTTTATTTTAAGGACAAATATGAATTAATTTAATTTTTTTTTAATTTAGTTTATAATGGTCCTCAAAACAGTGTTGATTATCATCATATAAGCCGTCAACTGTTTTCTGCTGAACACAGGTCTTCCTCATAAGGCAGGCTTTGCCTGTAGTTGGCATGCTTGATGGGCGGGTTGACAACCGCAGTTATGCTTTGGTAATCTTTTAGGAAGATGCTGCAGTCCATTCCTCAAACATTAAGTAAACAAAAACAGTAATTTTGGGAAATTACAAAATTAAAATATTAACTTACGAGATGGGTTCAGATGGCGCTACAGAATCAACTTCATTGCCTAACTTCGTTATAATACTTGTAGTATCCAACAATTCCACTGCCTTATTCAAAGATATAAAACTAAAAGCAGCCATATTAACTTTAAGGACGGCATTGGTACGTACTCACATGGTCAACTGTGTAGCGATTCCCTCTAGTTAACACATTTGATTTTCTCATTATTAGAAAAACACGTTCACAAATTGTCTAATAAAAATGAAATTGTTATATTAATTATATCATCAGAGAGAGACTTTGTACAAAAGTCGATTGCTTGGGTACCTTTGTCCCATTCGTGTTTCTACCGTGAAGCAGTTGTGTTTGCATGGCTGTGTTTCGGTTCGAAGGGTGGAATATGGCGTGAATTTACAGGGTACAGAGGAATAACATCTGAGTCCTCAGGAATGGCAACGCATGGGGGGTATCATGGGCGTAACAGTATACTCTGTTATGTCCATGGTACTGTTCATGTCTATAGGCGACGGTTACCACTTTCCATCAGGTGGACCGTCAGCTTGTTTGCCAATCTAAGTTGTATAAAAAAAAAAATAAAAGGCCGGCAGAACACCTGCAATGGCTCTGGTGTTGAGGGTGATCAAGTGCGGCGGTAGTCACATCAGGTGAGCTGCATGCTCGTTTGGCCCCTGTGTTATGAAAAAATATTAATCTATCTGTCCGGTTAAGTAAGAGTTCGGAAGGGTGTACAATTTTTTTTTCAGTTCCTCTTAAAATCTTTTTAAACATTGAATTTACATACAAACCTTGTTCTGACAATTACGAGCATAAAAAAAAACATTACCCAAATGCCGCCAGTTTGAAGTGATGCGTTTACATAGATTCGGCAATTGTTTTATAGGGTTTCGTACCAAAAAGGTACAAAGGAACCATTATGGTGCGACTTTATCTGTCCGTCCGTCCATCTGTGTGTTACAGCGTTATGCTATGATATATTAATGCTATTGATTTGAAATTTTGGACCAGTTTTACATAGTATTGGTCCACACACATTATAATAAAAATAATTGAAACAATATTCTTATTTTATTTGCTTAATTCCAAAAGCTTGGGTCCAAAAGGGAAACTCTAAATTTCAAATTTATCTACTAGTCCAAGTAAAATTTTTAATTTGAAATGGCTTTATTTGTACATTTTAAAACTAATTTTTATTTATTTTTATGCTATATAATTTAATAAGTATGGTAAAAAATGTGAGAAAATACCATTCAAAAATAAGAAATTACGAATTCTTTTTTTTTATGCAACTTAGCATGGCAAACAAGCTGACGGCCCACTTGATGAAAAGTGGCATCCGTCGCTTATAGACATGAACAGTACCATGGACATAACAGAGTATACTGTTTCGCCCATGACACTCCCTATGTTGTATCAATAGTAATAACTATTAGGTGTCTATTTCGTAACAGAAATATAATAAAGGTCTTAAATAGGTTACTAATAAAGGTGTGCAAAATTTAAAGAGAAATACATTTGGGTTATAATTCTTGTTTTATCCGTTACGCACAAAAAAAAAAATCAAATCTTTCCTCTTTATAATATTAGTTACGATTAGCAGAGTAATTCTCTGCTAAGAATAACTGATGCAACCAGCATACGGACACTTCTCTCTTATTTTCGTATTCTTTTGGACCTAGTTTCGTTTTACATCGCCGTTGAGGACATCAATCTAGTGGCTTTTAAACAAATTTTGAGACCAAAGTTTGGCCAACTAACCAGCTCTGTAAGTACGTGACCATTTTAACCGACTTACCACACTGAGTTTCCGGATTTTTCTGGTATTAGCTATGTGATTTAAGTAAGTATTTATAGAGTCAGTTGTAAAGGCTATAAATGGTAACACGGAGGCAATATTAATGTTACTTAATAATTTACACCTTAACAAATAATCAACATCTGTAAATATTTTTCAATATGTTATCAAGTCAGAAAAATTCAAAATTTCTTCAATCAACTTCAAAATAGGAGAAGGTTCTCAATTCGGTGTTTTTTAATAAAAAGTAAAAAATTCAACCGAATTGACCGATTACCGCATAATTCTATCATTTATAAACCGTTTTGGAAAATATTATTTTTATTTGAAAGGATATATTTCTGATTGGTCTCATAAAATTTTTATCAAAATCGATTCAGTAATATTATTGAAGTCTGTGTTCTTTGTGGAACAAAATATTAAACTTTTAAATCTTAAAATATATATAATTATAACATAATAATTCTTTATAATTTAAAATTTGCAAAGCAACTTAATCTTAATAAGACATGGGACTAACGCACCAATAACCGACAATAAACACTATCATTTAAAAATCATCATTAAAATCGATTGGCGAAGAAGAATAATTATCACAAGGAAGGAAGGAGAAAAATAATTATTAAAATCTATTTAGGTATCCCTAATCAATTTTATCTTAATTGTCATAATAAAAAAATCATAACATTTATTTTATCAAACAGTGCATAATAAAATTAACTAATCGCCAGAAAAAAAGGTTTCTATGTTAATTGATTTATGTGTTATTGTTGATTATTGTTATTGTTCGACTTATTCTTAAATGACTAATTTCGATAAAAATGCATATCAAAATTGTTTACTAACAATTCCAAGTAGGAAAAAACTGAATAAGGAAAGAAGTGTAACCATCGTTTATCATCGCGTCATTTGCTATCGACAGGGAATTTATCCTCACAATTTAAAACCTAAATAGTCGCGTACAGTGCGGTTTCAAAGGAGTTTACTCTCTCGAACGTCAAGGCAGTGGAATGAGCTCCCTAATGACGTTTTTCCTAGAAACTACAAAATTGGATTCTTCCAAAAGGGTATATTATGGTTTCTTCAGTAACAAGAATATAAATATTTGAGAAAAAAAATCAGTACATTTTGCTAGTAATAGGAGTCGCCTCAGATGTTGCTATACATATATGTACACCTCTAGCGAGATGTACCTATACAGCGTTGATTTTCAGGCGGCTCTTTAACTCATTTAACTTTAGTATTCATGCGGGTCGCTAATATTCACTTGGGATACGAAACATTGAAAAAAATCAATAGAAAAACTAAAATCAAAGATAAAAATAAAGAATTAATTCCAAATACAAAATTATCATAATCGACAGTGACAGTATCATTATAAAAATTAAACAAAAAATATTGCTACAGTTCCACAGTTGTTTAAAATTCGTTCTTTCAATATGACTCGTTTAAGTTTATTTTGAAAGTGAAATCATGTAGAAGATTCTGAATGAATGAATGAATGAATAGTAAATACTAAATATTGGTGATTTTCAGTAGCAGAGCTTAGAATTAATTATAATTGTTCAGCAATATTTACCATTACATAGGTGTGTAAATGTTCTGAATGTGAACTTCTAGTATTCCGACTATGTATATTTTTCATCTATATATTTTTTTTTTCATATAAATATTTAGGTTTCTTATTATGTGCAATTGTATAAATGAAACTAGCTACATAGAGTTTTTTTCGATGTGACATCTTCAAGATACTTTTATCACTGAGTACTGGAGTAATTCAAGCGCGTTTTATAATATGACAACAGTATCGTAGATCTGCGTTTTGGGTTCGCTGTATGGCGTGAGAAGATACTGCAAGTAATATAGGGTACATTTTTAAAAATAAAATACAAATCGGTTTAGAACTGATGGAGTAATGAGGTAACAGACATACGAAAACACAGCTGAATTAAGTCTCTCCTTTTTGAAGTCAATTGAGAAAAAATAACAATTAAATTTAATACAATACTAACGTCGCAATATTGCAAAGACAAGTTAAAAAGTCGATGTAGAATTGATCAAGATGTAGCGTAAAATAGAAGTAAAAGATAAAAAAGAAAATGAAAATTTAAATATTTGAAAATGTCGCCATTGAAGAAGAATTTTAATTATCTTTTTTACATATATTAA